GTAATGCTGATGCGGTTCTCAGCTCTGACTTGTGATTATCGGATAGATAAAGCCTAAGGTTGGGTTTGGGGGTCATCTTTTTCTTCTTACTGGGGTGCTGAACAGAAATGTCTGCATGGAGCCAGGAGGAAATGGCACTCGGGAGGGAGTGTCAGTTAGAAATGGGGTTCAAGGCTGAGATCTGCATCCCACATGATCCCAGTGTTTGGGAATTTTGTGAGGCTAGTCAAAGCCTTGTGTGGTGTTGATATCATTGGCACGGAGGCCTGTGTCCTAGGGGTGTTACTGACCACAGGAGATGCACGAGCACATGATCCCAGATCAACCCAAGATCTCAGTGAGCATCCACAGAAACAATTTGGTGTTCAAGTGTTAAAGTCCCCTGGCCCAACACGTGCCTGTGGGGATTGCAAGAACCTGCAGCCAACACCCCATGCAATAAGATGCATGTAATCTGTCAAGATGATTAAACAGCAGAAGTGTTTATTTGACCTGGGTTTAACTGCACTGGTGAAGTTCTCCAATCTTTCAGAGTTTTCCACCAGGAGTGTCCTTTGGTGGGTTAATGTTCCATGAGGTTAAAACTGATAAGGCAATTTCAAGATGATTTTTCAACTTTTTTTTTTTCCACAGTAGGCAGAAAAAGAGTCTTAACAGAATACAGCTTTAAAATAACCCCATCTGTCTTGAGGGAAAAGAACAGGAGGGAGGTGAAACGGGAATTCCTATTTTAAACATGGCAGTAGCATCTTCCTTCTCTTTGCTCTTGTTTTCTCTGTTGGTTATTCCCTGTCCTGTCTGATTCCAGGCTGAGCAGCAGAAGAAAGCGGCTGTGATCTCTGCGGAGGGAGACTCCAAAGCAGCTGAGCTCATTGCCAACTCGCTGGCCACTGCAGGCGATGGCTTGATCGAGCTGCGCAAGCTGGAGGCCGCTGAGGACATCGCCTACCAGCTCTCACGGTCCCGCAACATCACGTACCTGCCCTCTGGACAGTCTGTGCTCCTCCAGCTGCCACAGTGAGCCCAGGCACCTCTGCCTCCCAGATCAGCCCTTTCCAAAAGAGTCTGTGCACTTTCCTCATTGGTAGAAAGAGAGGAAATGAAAATTCAACCCATTTTGAATTCTTAATCAAATAAAACCGCCCGCTCTTGAGAACAGACCTGCATTCCTCCCCTCTACGGTCAGAGCAGTGGCTTTGGCCTTTAAGCTAGGTTTGAGAATTGCCCCTTTCCAGGCAGTTTGAGCAACAGGAGCAGAGTTTCATCTGTTCACTCCTGGAGCAAAGCAGTAGCCCAGGTGACTCCCTGACCCCAAGAGTGCTCTATCCATCAGGTTTCACAGCGATGCTTCAGTGCCTTCAGGCTGGCTTAGCTGGGGTTGTTACAGACTTGCAGGTCCTGGACTATGGGACAGGGATGCCCAGGGCTCACTCTTCAGTCAAGCCAGTCTGTTTTCAGGTGTCAGCTGAGTGTAAGAGGACATCTCAGCTGTCAGGGCAGTGGCTCTGCCTGTGTGAACCATAGCACTGATAGCTGGAGGCACAGGTAGAGCGGCTTGTGGCTTGGGGTGAGAATAGCAAGAGATTTGCTTTATGTAGTGGATGGATTTCAGGCACAGAGGAGAAGATGCTTCCTCTGCAGGAAATGCTTCTCAGGCACATGCTGGACATCACTTCTCCCCCTGCTGCTGCACTCTGATCTGTTTGCTGCTGCTTGCTCTGTTGTGCAGCATTGGTTCTTTCATCAAGGTCAGTTGGCCTATTGCAAATGGCACCTGGGACAAAGAGGGGATGACTCGGTGCTCTGTGGCTCAGGCAGTCAGAGGTGGGCAGAATTCTCTGTTACATCAATGCTCTTTTTATGTAGGGAACCTGAATTGTGAGGAGGATGTGATGGGTGAGATTGTATAACCAGCCTTCAATAAATGTCACAGTCCCAACTGTAGTCATGTGTGGTGCTGGGGTTTTTTTGCTGTCACAGAAGAATGAAGGTTGGGTCAGTAGAGCAAGAACTTCGTGCTTGTGCTATTGTGTGGATATGCCACTTAGCACAGGGCAATAGGTCTTGTTCCTGACAACTTAAAGCTTGAAACATGATTCTTAGGCTGAATTCCTGCAGCAAGGCTGAGAGTATCTTGAGGTTATTGCAAGGGCTTTTAACTGTTTTCCATGCACTGTTCAGGCTGTTGTTTACTGCATGTGCATCTTCCAGGGTGCTCTTTTGATGAAACACCATGCTGTTGGAAAGAAAACGGGGGTGTATTGTACCAGATACAGCCTACAGTGCTTCATGTGTGTCAGCAGCTACTCCTATCCTGTAAACAGGGTGCTTGTACAATGCCTGTTATCCCTGAGGAATGGGATCTCTGGTGGGTGTCATCGCTGCCCTGAGGGTAAGCCCTTGGGAAAGCTGCTGGGAATGGTGGGCTTGTTTCCTCATCTTACAGCCACTTGGAGTCCTTGCCCTTGGAGAGACTCCTGTGCTCTTTGTGCTGGGCAGGGTCTGTGCTTGCAGTGATGAGGTGCCTGAGCTTGCAAAATATTTTAAGCAGCTGAGCAGTCAGGTCCATAACTCCCAAATAACTTCCAGACCTCTCCCCCCTCCAGTGCTCTTGTTCTTTATTCCTCTGGTTTACCACTTCAGACACTTCTAAGGAAGCTTCCACTTTCCTCCCAAGGCTCCTTTTAAAGCCCCCTTAGTGTTTCCTGTGCCAGGTGCTGGGTTCAGAGCAGAATGCCTGAAATCCCTTCTCAGCTTCTGTGGTTCTGCATCCCTTCTCCCTCCAGTCCTGCATTTTCAGTGGAGTGTGGAGTGTTTCCTGCCACTTTTGCTCTTAGCCTCTGGAGGAGGGGCTCCAGCAGTGGTCCCTGGGTCTGATTAATCACCATTTCCTTTGCCTTTGGATGTAATTCTTTTCACAAATGCTCCCTAGCTGTTAACTGCTCCTTTTACCTTGGCTCTGCCTCACTTAATGCCTAAAGTTGCCATCAACTTCAGACTTCAAAGCTGCTCTTGAACCTGTGGCTGGCTGGGGGTGTGCTCACTGAACCCCTTGTTTATATTGTGTTTACAGCTGCTCTTCAGCCTTGGTGGAGACCATCTCCAGATGGGAGCAGTGACCCAAAAACCAGGATGTGGTTTAGTGCACAGGGATACTGGGTGAGGAAACAGCCACTTGCTGGCTGGATGCTGCTCTGAGTTGTGCAGCAGTGAGCAAGCATTGCCTGGCATCCTCTGCCAGACTCCTCAGGTGCTGGCAGGCTCCTTGATGTAAGAACAAACCAAGAAGTTGAGCTTGTGCGGCCAGGGCCGGACTGGAGAGTCAAAGGCTGGATCCTGCTTCCTAGAGCAGCAGCTGGGAGGTGTGAGCAGGGTGTGTGCCCTCGCTCTCAGCACTCTGCTTGTCAGGGCAATAGACAGAGCTTTGGGCTTGGGTAACACGCAGGTAGCTGCCCTGGCTGCTTCCACAAACAGGGTGTTCCCACCCTCACTGGCGTTTCCAACCTTGTTGCTCTTAACTCAGTACCAAGAAGTTGCTGGTGAAAGTGGAGCACGGCCTGGGGTGGAGAATCGAGAGAGGGTCAAGGCATGCGGCTTTGCACTGGGGGAAGAGAGGTGAGGGATGGAAGCTGCAGCTTTGCTGCCAACCGTGACAGACGGCGTTAGCGAGCACGGATGCTTGCCAAGAGGTTACCCCTTCAAGAGGCAAGACAAATCCAAGCGGAGGAGCCGCAGGGGCCGCAGCCCGGCTGCTCTCCCACCAGATGGCAGCAGCAATTGTGCTGCTGCACCGGAGAAGCTGCGGGACCAAAGGGTGCCCTCAGCATCCCGGGGGCTGGGGAGTGGGGAGGTCACCCTGCCCCGGGCAGAGGGCGCAAGGAGTGGAGGTGGACGAGGGCTAACACAATAGCACAGTCTCAGGGCGAGGAGGAAACAGCGCAAGCTGGTACAAGAGGGGAAGAGGGTTCAGTCCCTGTGTCAGGCTGTCTTGGTAAACCTCCGCTGCACCTTTCACTGCTGGGTACCTCCAGCCCCAGGTTTTAACTTCCCCCAGCCTAAGGCAGCACACTGAAAGATGCAAACTCTCTTTCTGCGCATGGTCCCGGGTGGCTTGGCTTTGCAGCCTGACTCCCTGCAGCCCTGTTCCTCCTTTCCCCAGGCCATCTTTAGTTTATTACTAATTCAGTGTGGATAGGAACAACAGAAATGTCTAGGCATGACTTCAGAAGTGTAACGTGGTTTAGCTTGATGTTTGAAAACAGCATTGAGTCTTTGGGTCCAGAATGTTAGCATGATGAATTCATACTGGAGCTATGTTGGTAAAAGCTTGGCAATTTTTAATCTGAAGCCCTGTAATTCTGTGGTTCCAGGGTGATTAGAGTATTTCTCTGAATACAGCCCAAAAACTAAGCTACAGGGACCAGGTTTGGGGCAAAGTCTGCTGGTCATGGGCAACATAAATCTGCTGGGGCAATTGAAGGGCTCTGTGTGATGGGGAGTGCAGCCCTCTGTTGCCAGAATGCATCTCTTGCTTGAGACCAAGGAGCAGCAGTTCACTGCCACTTAACAAGGTGGAATCTCCCTGCCCATCGCTCTGCATTGGCTGCAAACCTCCAGCGAGGTCTGAGTTTAGGGTTTTCTTCCTGGGAGACTTTGCCTTACTTCTTCCCTTTGTGCTAGTGGAAGAGCTGAGCTCGGCACCAGCCTGCTGGCCACATTCACACCAGCCAAACAAGCTTTGTTCCTGATAAACAAACAGGAAACTGCCTGATTTCCTCTGTGTGCTCACCCTCTCTTGTGCTTGCTCCCTATTTAATAGATAACCAGCCTACCTGACTTGTGAAGAGGAGACCAAAAGCAGCCACGTGGACGGGAGCAGTTGGAATTTGCAGCATGGCTGTTGCACTGAAATGGGCATCTCTGCCCTGACAGTCATGGATGCACAGGAGCTGAAACACTCCAGGCAAGGTTGCACCCCGAGTTTGTGATAATCTGTACCCTGCAGCAAGCTGGCAGCATGGCTGAAAGTGGTTAGAGCCAAGGGATAGGGAGGAGTTTCCTTATTGCTTCCTTTGTGCTGTTTATATCTGAGTGGATCTAGTGCTTCTGTCCTGAAACACAGAGGATGTGGCGGGGTGTGCAGGGGGAAAAGGCACTTGTGGAAGAGGGTAGGAAATGATGTCTTTAACCAGGCTGGAGCTCAGCTCAGCTGGGAGATGGGGGACAATTCGTAAGGCCAAATTTGGTCTAATTATTCCTTGCCTGGCACTAGGCAGCACTGGGGCTGATCTATTCCTCATATGCCTGTTTCCCATCAGCAGGACTGAGCTGACTTCAGGCCAGCAAGTCCTGACTTACTTACACTGCTGTAGTTCTCAGAGGTAGGTCAGGTTTACTGAAGGATGATTTGATGCTTTGGGCTTTGGTTTTCTACTTGGTGAAGGGGGAGAAGATTGTCACAGATAGGTATCAGGGGCAATGGTATGGGACATGAAGTCCATCCTAGCTAGTGGATGCAGAACAAACTGTCAGAGAACGGGATGCATCTGATGTCTTTAGAGAAATGCCCACCCATAGCCAGGCTGGGTTCACTTTGCCCACCCACAGAAAGCTGTAAAATCTACAGGGAAAGGGCCTGGTGGAACAGGCACCCAGTTCTTGCTGAACACAGAAAGAAAGGCTAGAGACACCAGGAAGCTCCCATGGGAGGCCGAGTTCAACTGCTACTGTAACCACAGTGTTTGGGGTTCCTCATACTGGATCCACACATGATGCAGATTTGGACTGAGTCAGAGCCCATCAGTGAATTATCCTTGATCTCTGAGAAGCCAAAGCTGTGCATGAGCATGGGAAACTGTCCTAGATCGAGCTGCAGGAGGGCAGTGCACAAGATGGAGACAGTGGAAGATGCCAGTTGCAAGATGTGTTTGTGCCCCCATGCTGGTAGGGGCAGGAAGGGCAGGAGAAGGCTGGAAAGAGTGTGTGCAGGATGCCTCTGAGCAGCAGGTTAAAAGCACTCAACAGAGGCAAGAACAGGAAGGAAGCAGGGGTTAAGCCTGAACAAGGTGAGTCTATCCCAGAGCCCTTAATTCAAACATGATTTCATGGGTAGAAATCTTGCAGTGCCCCTTCTGCAAAGCTGGTAAATACAGCTCTGTTTCTCTGTTGCTTACAGCATCTTCCTCCTAAGCACAGCTTTTCAAACCCAGAGGGAAGTTTCTACCTAAACAGCTAGGCTGGAAGATTGGGTGTGAACAGCAGGACTCCACTTCAACCAGTTTGCTCCTCACCAGCCAAGGTACATGGACCCTACTCAAATTGCTTTGGTACAGGCTGATGCTGATCACAGCAGAGGTGCTCTAACACAGGAACAGAAATGTTTCTAACAACCTGCTGGGGCAATGCATCCATTTAACAATTACCTCCCCTCTCCAAACTTTAGAACTTCATGTAGCCAGTCTGCTGGGGAAACCACCTGAGATCACAGTGTAACAAACACCAAAGCTGATTAAACAGACAACAGAAGAGTAAAACCCCAACTCTGCCAGTTTCTCTCCCTTCCAACCTGCCCTTGTTGAGCTGCCATACCCCAGAATCTGTGTCTTCCTTAGGAAAAATAAAAGAGAGGCAGAAAACCAAGGCTACCCAAAGAGAACTCTTTATTATTATTTTGTGGTATGATTTTTATGCAGAGGCCAACAGCTCTGACAGTACAGGTCATGTTACCCTGCCCCCAGTACCCCAAAGCAAGTTAGTAACCAGCAAGTGCATCTGCCAGGCTTTTCTGTGTCACGCAAGGCTGTTAACTGTTGCCCTGCCCAGGCTGAGCTCAAGCCCTGAATGCAGGAAGCCCTGTAAAACCATGTTGAACCCAGCTGGCCATGCTGGCTCCCTGATCTGCCCCTCAGCTTGCAGGGGAGGCAGAGTTAAAGCCACTGGTATTGCAGTTCTGCTTCTCAGGTGCTTACCGCATGTCAACTCTGCCTGTACCCTGCTGCTCCAAAGGTCTAATCCTCCTCACAAGGAGATGCTGGTGGGTGTTAGCTGTATTATTTAGAGGCAGTTTATCTTTAATTGTGGCCTTACACTCAACTAGCAAAGGAGAAGGGAGAATGAGAACAGGAATTTCCTCTGCTTGAACTTCTACTTTTCTCTGATATAGCCCAGCACCTCTGTGCTCAGTGGTGGTGGTTCCCTCAGACAGCACAGGGCTTCCTGTGACAAGAGCTAGCAGGAAAAACGCTTTGTTTTCCTTTTGCTTCCTTTCCCATTGCTTGAGAGGATTCTGAATCCTGCAGGACATATCTGGATACCTAAAGAGTAAAGCATTAATGTGAGAGTCAACTGGTTGGGTTGCAGCCCTGATCAGCAAAGTGTCAGCACCCTGTCTGTGCCTCAGTTTCTCTTCTCCCCCTTGGCTTGTTTTCTCAGTGGGGCAGGGCCTGGTTTTTGCAGGGTCCCTGAGCAGCACTGAGCTCCAAGGACCTTCCCCCCCTTGGGGAAGGAGAAAGAGTCCCAATCCCAACTGCATTCCCGGAAGTGTCAAGTCAGGCCCAGTTCAGGCTGTTTCCAAACCAGAACTGTTAGGATGGAGGCCTTGGCAAAATACCAAGCACATGGAAAAGGGCTAGTGCTGTTCCACTTGGCCCTCCTTAGTGGCAGCCCTGTCACCAGCACCAACGAACCACCAAGAGCCACCTCACCATGAGAGGAAGTAGGTAGGACAGCAGAAAAGCAGCCCATATCCCTGTTGGCTGTGGGAAGAAAGAACTGCCTGCTGAGTTTCCAAAGAAATGATCACAGCAGGAGTGTGGATGAAGTAGAGAAGATTTACCCATGGCTGCCCTGGGAAAGCCAAGAGCTCTCGGAAACTGGGCCGCATCTCTCAGCAGCACAGCTCCCAGGGAACTGCAGGCCCTGGGCTGGGCAGGCAGTGCTCCTACTAGAGGGTTGCAGCCCTAGTTTGATGCCTGAAAGCAATAGGAAATAACCAGAGCAGATAGCTCAGGGATTGCCCAGGAAAACGCAGCTTTGCAAACCCAAGAAGCCTGCCCACACCACAGGAAAATTAACAGCTGATAAAAGTAGGAGTTCACCACTGATTTTTCTCCTTCCCACACTGTTCTGCAGCTGCTGCTAGTGGTTATCCCCACCACAGAGCTCACTGCATCTCAACAATACTCTTATTTAAGTTTGCTTTCTCAGCAAGTCTAGAACAAGTCTAGGAGAAAAACCCAGCTGGGTAACGCTGCGTTCTGCTGTGTCTGTGGCCCATGGCCTAGCAAGTTCTCATACTTTCATTGTACTTTTCACCCTGAAATGTCCTAAGCTGCTTAGCAGAAAAAAGCCCTCTTTTCCAGGGAGGGACAATGTCACCTACTGCTGTATTGCTGCTGCTTCTGGAGTGAGCTGCAAAGAGCTGTTTGCTGAGACCCTGCAGCAGTTTAGGGAGGAAATTAAGATCTCTATCACCCGCCCCTGGCACCACATGCAATCAGGAGGACACGCGAGGACATTTCCCACACTGGTTATAGGGAGAAGGGAAATGCCAGAAAGAGGGGGCAGAGGAGCCACAGCACCACACTGTGCTGGGGATGAGCTGCAGAGAGTTGCCTTTAAAAGTCAGACACCAGTGTGAAGGGAAAGGAGAGATGACAGCAAGGAAATGAGAGGGCTGATAAGGATCTGTGGCTGTGAGGCAGGTGTGTGCTAAGGAGCAGCTCGTGCAAGCAGAGATGTGGAGCTGTTGCTGCATTCTGGTTGTTTCCCTTTACCTGCCTGACATGTCTTTTCATGTCAAAAGCTACATCAAAGAGAGGGATGTAAATAGCTGAACAGGCTTCCTTGTGGGAACAGGGCTGAGTGCCACAGCCAGCCCCTCAGCTGGATCTCTCCCTGGGAGCACCATGAGGAGCTGTCACCTTCCATTAGCTAAGCACCTAGGGAAGAAAGTATATTACATGCGGGAGCCAAACTAAGCAGTGATGCTGGGGAGAGTCACTTGCCTCTGCAGCTCTCTCTTCCCTAGGCCACCACTGATGCTGACGGACACAAGCAGGGCCACAAAAGCAGCACCACATCCCCTGACATCCTCTCTCTATTTTTCTCAAGAAGCTGCATTGCACAAGGGTGCTGGGCTACGCCAGAGCAGTGTCCATGCTCTCAAAGCCCAGGCTCTCCCGTGGTACCCCCTCCCTCTCCAACTACACACAGGTCACAGCAGAGCTCAGAACAGCCCAGAGGCTGCTCTGCACTGGGGAAGCTTGTTACAGCTCCCATGGGACTGGCAGAGTAAAGCACACCCTGCCCTGTGCCCCCACGGCAGGGGCTGGAGCAAGGAAGAAAACTGGCAGCATTGTTCTGATCCCACCATGGGGCTTCCCCAGCCTACTCTGCCCCTTTTATTTGACTGTGAACTTCAACTCTGAAAACCCCAATCCCTGCTCTGCACAAGGAGCTCAAATCTCAGGTTTTATGTTCAATAACCAAGAGTGGGTCAAACACACTGGCATGTAACATTTCATATATCGGGGTGAGGGTTAGAGATGTTATGCACAACCTCAAATCAAGTGCCCTATGCTAAGGGGGCATTTGCAGCAAACAAAGCAGATAAGGAAAGAGATCACAGGTAGGGAAGAGACTGTAGACTACAGGATTTAAAACTACAGCAGGGACACAAGTCAGAGAGGGGGCAAGAGGAAGCCAAAGCTACAGGGCACAAGAGATTCCTGAAATCCCTGGGAAGCAGCTAACAGTAGCAAAGTGGTGCCCTTCCCCCTTTTCCTGTTTCTGCTACTCTGGCTTATTCTTTTCCTGCAGCCAAACCCAAACCCAAACCACAGCAGTGCTCTTCCCTCCTACACAGCGCTCAACAGTGGTTTCCAAGGCTATGGATGAGGCTTCGCGGCTTCCTCGGGGAGGTGGTACCACTCAAGATGCTGTGCCAGCCGGAAAACGGCAGCCCCACGTCCTTTTGTGAGCCCCATACCGGCTGCCAACCAGCAAACCCCATTTAGGTTGTATTTGCTTCTTGTCACACCTCCCTCACACACCAGGCCCGGGCCCTGCAGGTGGGTGAGAGCAAGAAACCACAGGCCGAGTTAAGTAGTTATTAGTACTTGAAGGGGAGAGGAAGATTGGAACAAGTGGGAGCTGGGGTTTGGCACAACAACAAAAGCAACCGACTCCTCCGGCTACCGTAAACCCGGCAGCGCCTCCGCGATAAGGCTCGTTCGGGTTCTTACCTGCTCCCGCGGGGCAGCTCCGGCAGCCTGCGCGACACCGGCCCTTTCCCCGCGCCTCCCGTCCTGAGGCGCCACGCACGTCCCTCGCTAAGGACGGGAGCGCCGAGCCCGGCGCGGTCGCGGCTCCCACGGCGGCCGGTGCAGGGCTGGGCTCGGAGGCCTCACCGGGGCGAGGGGAGGCGCGGGCCGGGCCGGCCGCAGCGCGCTGCAATTAGGGCGGCCCTAATTACCTCAGCGCAGCTAACGGTCGGCGCCTCACCTGAGCCCCGCGCATGCGCACCCCCCCCCCACCTCACCTGCGGCCGCGGAGGTGAGCAGCGGGGAGGTGGGAGCGAGGCAAAGCCTGACTGCGCATGCGCCGGCGCGCTCCCCTCAGCCTCTGGGTGCCCCCCCCCCCCCCCTCCCCGCCCCGCGCGCCCCAACCCCCCCCCCCCCCCCCTCCCTCCCGGCGCGCTCCCGGTCCCGCGCGCGTGCGCGCGGCGGAGTCGCGAGACTGACGGCGGCCACGTAGCGCTGCGGCGGCGGCGGCGGCGGCGGCGGCGGAGGAGGAGGAGGAGGAGGGGAGCGGGAGCGGGAGCCGCGGCCCCGGCGGCGGCGGGGCCTGGGCCGGAGCCCGGCGCAGCGGCCACTGCGAGCGCCGCGGCGGCGGCTGAGGGGGCCGAGCGGAGGGACAGGGAGGGAGGGCCCGGCCGCCCTCCGCCCTCCCGCCTCGCCTCCTCCGCCACCCTCCCTCCGCCGCCTCGCCCGTGCTCCCCCCTCCCTCCCTCCCCTCCCCTCCCCTCGCCGCCCGGCATGGAAGGTGGCGGGGGCGGCCCTGCGGGGATCGGCCTGGGTGAGTGCGGGCCGCCCGCTCGCTTCGGGATCCCCTTTCCCTGCTCTCCTCGGGCCTGGCTGCAGCCGCCGAGCAGCGCTAGGCCCAGCCCGGGGGTGGGTGACGGAGGGAGCGGGGTAGAGCCGCCTCCGGCCTGGAAGGACTGGGGGGGGGGTAAGCGCCGGGCCCGGCCCCGCCGGTGGGAGCAGGGTGCAGCCGGGGGAGCCTCGCGGGAGGAGGGGAGCGCGCGGCGGAGGAATGCTGCCGGGGGCGGCTGGAGCTTCCCGCTGGGAAGGGGCTGTGCCACCTGCCTGCGGAGCGGAGGGAGGGAGGGAGGGAAGGTGAGCGGCGTCGAGCGAGCCAGAGGCCGCCCCGCTGCCTCCTGCCCTGGCCTTCAGCCGCCTCCCGGCAGCGGCGCCCGGAGGTGCGGGGACACCCCAGCCCTCGCCTTCCTCCTTGTCACTGGCCGGGGGTGCAGGCGCGGCCGTGCCCGGGCCGCGGTTGTGGATGCTGCTGGGACGGGAGTTGTCCCTGGGCAGGCGAGAGAGCGCTGCGCTGCCCTTAAACTGCTGCAGGTTCGGGGT